GTGTGTGTGTGTGTGTGTGTGTGTGTGTGTGTGTGTGTGTATCACAATAGCATAAATGATAAGGGAGGGCATGGAGTTATATTGGAGAAAAGTTTCTATATATTACTGTAATTAGGTTAGTGTTCATCTAAAGTAGATTGTGCTAAATTTGATGCATTTTATAATCCCTTGAGCTACCACTAAGAAAGTCATTCAAGAAATAATAATCAACCAAGAATTAAAATGATACATTAAAAGTATTTAACATAAAAGAGGGCAGTAAAGGAGGAACAGAAGACTGAGAAGGACAAAAGATGATATAGAAAACAAAGGGCAAATGTAAACCCAACCATATTAATAATTGTGTTAAATGTAAATGGTCTAAACACCCCAGTTAAAAGGCAGAGATTGTCAGACTGTATAAAAAAGAAAGATACAACTATATACTGTCTATAAGAGACATACCTTAGATTCAAAGGTACAAATAGCTTGAAAGTAAGAAGATGGAAAAAATTATACCATGCAGACAAAACCATCAGAGAGTTGGAGTAATTATGTTAATTTCAGACAAAATAGACTTAAGAAATATTGCTAGAGACAAATAGGGCTATTTTAAAATGATGAAATAACAATACATAAGGAAGATATAGTTATGGTAAATGCGTACACACCTAACAACAGATCTTCAAAGTATGTGAAGCAAAAACTCACTGAATTAAAAGGAGAAGAAATAGGTAATTCAGCCATAACTGATTTCAATATTTGACTCTCAGTAGTTGATAGAACAACTAGACAATCAACAAGGATATAGAAGACTTGAAGAACACTCTCAACCAACTCTACCTAACTAATATGTAAAGAGTACATATTTTTTCAAGTATATATGGACCATTCTCCAGGATACCTCATAAGGGAGGCCAAGAAATACAAGTTTCAATACATCTAAAAAGATTGATACTATGCAACATATGTTTTCCAACCACAATAGAATTGTTAGAAATCAACAACAAAAGGAAATCTGGAAAATCTCCAAATATTTGGAAATTAAACAACACACTTATAAATATCCACTGAGTCAAAGAAGAAATCACAATAGATTTAAAAATATTCTGGACTGAAAGAAAAGAAAAATGCAACATGTCAAAATTACAGAATACAAATAAAACAATACTTACAGGGACATTTATAGCTTTCAATACCTATGTCGAAAAGAAAAAAGGTCTGAAATGGATAACTTAAGCTTTGACCTAAACAAACTACAAAAAAACCAAAATAGAACCAAAGTAAGCCAATGAAAGGAAATAATGAAGATTAGAACATAACTCAATAAAATAGAAAACAGACAAATAGAGAAAGTCAGTGAAACTAAAAGTTTGGTCTTTGAAAAGATCAATCAAATTGACAAACCTTTAGCTAGATTGACCAAGAAACCATAGAAAAGATACAGATTAACAAAATCAGGAATGAAGGAAAGGACAGAACTATCGCTCCTACAGAAGTTAAAAGTAAAGGAATGTTATGGCTAACTTTATGTCAACAAATTAGACAATTTAGATGCAGTGATATACAAATTATCAAAACTGACTCAAGAAGAAAAAGAAAATCTGAAGAGATCTATAATAAGTAAAAAAAAAAAAAAATTCAGTTAGTAATTTAAAATTTTCCATAAACAAGGCCTAGGCCAAGATTAGGTCACTGGTGAATTCTATCAAATGTTTGTAGAAGAAAAACACCAGTTCTTCCCATGTTCTTTTAGAAAATATCCCTCATGAACATAGATGCAAAAATACTTAACTATATTAGCATACTGAGTCCAATCACCTATAACAAAGATTATATACCTTGACCAAGTAGAATTTATCCCAGAAATGCAAGATTGGTTTAACATCTGAAATCAGTTAATGTAAGGTACCATAATAGGTAACAAAATCATAGAACGTAAGACAAAAACCTTATATGTCAGAAAAAGCATTTGACAGGCTGTAACATATACTGATAACGAGAAATCTCAACAGACTACAAATGAAGGGAATTTTCTCAACTTGAGAAATAGCATCTATAAAAATCTCAGAACTAATATTATACTTAATAATGAAAAGCTGAATGTTTTCCCCCTAAGACTTGGAACAAGGCAAGGAGATTCTGTTCTCACCACATCTATTCAAATTGTACTGAAGGGTCTAGCCAGTGTGATCAGGAAAGAAAAAGAAATAAAAGGCATCCAAATTGGAAAGGAAGAAGTAAAACTATCTTTTATGGCAATGTGTATTTAGAAAATCCCAAGAAATACACCCCTAAAAATCTTCTAAAACTAATAAACATGTTTATGTTTAATGAGGTCACAAGGATCCAAGGTCAACATACAAAAATCACTGTACTTCTATATAATGGGAATTAATAACCTAAAAATGAAATTAAGAAAATAATTCCATTTACAATAGTACCAAAAAGAATAGAATAGTTGAGTATAAATTTAACAAAATAAGTGTAAGACTTGTACAATGAAAAATGCAAAACATTGCTGAGAGAAATTAAAGATCTAAATAAATAGAGAAACATTACATGTTTATGATTTGGAAGATTCAGTATTGTCAAGACAGCAATTCTCTCCAGGTGATCCATAAATTCAACACAATTCTTATCTAAATCCTAGATGACGTTTTTTTTTTTTTTTATAGAAATTGACAGGGCAATCCTGAAATTTCCATGGAAATGCAAAACACTTATAAATAGCCAAACCAGTTTGAAGAATTAAGTTTGAGAACCTAGACTGCCTCATTTCAAAACTTACTATAGGCCAGGCAGAATGGCTCATGCCTGTAATCCTAGTACTTTGGGGGCCGAGGCAGGCGGATTGCTCAAGGTCAGGAGTTCGAAACCAGCCTGAGCAAGAGCGAGACCTTGTATCTACTAAAAATAGAAAGAAATTAATTGGACAACTAAAAATATATAGAAAAAATTAGCTGGCGCATGCCTGTAGTCCCAGCTACTTGGGAGGCTGAAGCAGAAGGATTGCTTGAGCCTGGGAATTTGAGATTACTGTGAGCTAGGCTGATGCCATGGCACTCTAGCCTGGGCAACAGAGTGAGACTCTGTCTCAAAAAACAAAACAAACAAACAAAAAAACTTACTATAAATCTGCTGTAATCAACACAATACAATATTGGCATATATTATATATAGGCATTAGAGCAATGGAACAAGATTAAAAGTTTAGCGGAAAAAAAACCTCACATTCATCAATTGACTTTCAACAAAGGTACTAACACAATTCAGTGGGTAAAGGGTAATCTTTTCAACAAATTATGCTGAAATAATTAGACATTCATATGCAAAAAAAATTCTTAGACTTATGCCTGTACCACACATAAAAATTAACTCAAAATGGATCATAAACCTAAATGTAAGGGCTAAACCTGTAAAACTCTTAGAAGAAAAATAGGAGAAAATCTTTATGCCTTTAGGTTAGACAAAGAGTTTTTAGATATGACACAAGAAGCACAAACCATGAAAGAAAAATAATAAATTGGAATCCAACAGAATTAAGAATTTCTACTCTTTGAAAAATGCTTTTAAGAGAATGAAAAGACAAGGGATAGACTGGGAGAAAATATTTGCAAGTCATGTTTCTGAGAAGAGACTTGTATCTAAAATAAAGAACTCTTAAAACTCAATAAAACAACACAACTTAAACAGGGACAAAAGGTTCAAATAGACATTTTGCTTAAGGATATATACAAGGGGCTAATAGGCACATGAAAAGATGCTCAATTTCATTAGTCACTGGGGAAATGCCAATTAATAGAGTGCTATGAGATACCACTAGAATTATACCCAGTAGAATGGCCATAATCAAAAAGAGAGACAATACGAAGTGTTGGTTAGGATGCAGAAAAACTGAAACCCTCATACATGGCTGGTGAGAATATAAAATGGTACAACCTCTTTGGAAAGCAGTTCTTTTTAAGATAGTTTCTTAAAAAGTTAAAAATAACTTATATGACCCTGAAATTCTACTCCCAAGAATCTATCCAAGAGAAATGAACATATTTCCACATGCACACAAATGTTCCCAGCAGCATTATTCATAATAGCCCCAAACTAGGAACAATCCCAATGTCTATCAGCTGGTGAATGTATAATACCAAATGTATTGTACATCCAGTGGAATAGTATTCAGCAATAAAAAGGAATACAGTAACTAAAAAATAAAAGGAATAAAATACTGCTACATGCTACAACATGAATGATCCTTAGAAACATGCTAAGAGAATGAAGTCAGACACAAAGACCACAATTTCAATGATTCTATTTTTATGAAATATGAAGATAAGGCCCATTTGTAGAGAGAAAAGCAGATTCTAGAGCTGGGGTGAAAGTAGTAATTAACTGTAAACCAGCATGAGGAAACTGGAGTGATAGAAAGGTTCTACAACTGGATTATGGTGGTCGTTGCTCAACTCTATGAATTTACAAATAATCATCAAATTATACACTCATACTGGGTGGATTTTATGGTGCATAATTTATACTTAAGTAGATCTATTTTTAAAGGAATTTTCCCATTTGACCTTTTGTGCTTAAATTTTGAAAGCTCTTCTAAATCCTTATGCAACAAGGATTGATTTGTTTACATTGTCACATAAACCCTCTGATTTATGTGTTTAATATTATGTATCCCATAAGAATAACAACTTTTAAAGAAATGCCTATTTACATGTGTAGCTTTCTCTCAAATACATTCTTCTAACACCTTTTTGTGTTTCTCACTTCCAGCTAAATGGCTTTTTTGATTCTCAACTGATGTTTACTGTTCATTCTCTGTTAGTGGTGGTGTCTTTCACAATTTTTTGTTTTCCAGGATGATATTAACTTTTGGAAACTACAGCTTGGAACAATTTTTATATACTTTTGATGTCTTTTGTTAAATTCTTTAACATATTTTCCCAATGAAAATATAAAAGCTTATTTCTGAAGTGTACTTTGGTTTTAATGTTATGCATATCTTCCTTTTAAAATAGAATATGCTTCTCTGGGATCACTCTATGATTACATTAATAGTAACAGAAGTGAAGAGATGGATATGGAGCACATTATGACCTGGGCCACCGATGTAGCCAAAGGTAATAGTGCGTGGTATATTCTTGTAAATTTGGTGGGGAGCATTTTCCCATCCTAAAATGGGGACTTGTGTCAGAAAATTTTTTATTCTATGTCTTTAGATGTTCTTTTTTCAGAATAAAAGTAGTAAGACTTCTGTAACTAATTATGCACATAATATTTTTAGGTCATTGCCTTTCTACTCCTGAATTTCTTTTTTCTTTCTCCTTTCTCTACATTATTTCTTTCCCTAAAATCAAGTTGTAGCTTCAGGGCAGACATTTTTGTCATGTTTTGTCATATGTAATTGACTAGCTTGCTTGACACATTAAAGGGAAAAATAATTCCATTGTTTTTCTGAAAGTCTCTACTTAGACTCGGTATCCAGAAAACATGATTTATTATAGGATTAGTTCTACTCATTTTGTATATGTAATATGCTAAAAATAGAAACCACTTGCAAAAAAAAAAATCTTATTTGTCCTGCCATGTAAAAGCAATTCAGCTTTTATTTTATATTTAATGTAAACTTGGACATCACCTTTGGAAATTAAATATTTTTAATACACAAAATCCCTAAACAAGGTGCCCAGTTCTTTCCCCTCATAAATTCCTGCATGGACTAATGCTTTCTAAAGCAATTCAGATTCCATTTATTTTTATCTTTTTTTTTCCATTTTCCTAACTGAACATTTCTGAGTTTTATTTATAACTGTCAAAGTTGCTTTGGAAACAACTTGATCTAAATAATGAACACTGATAGTTACATTTGTGTTCTAGCAACCCCAGGAAAGTGTGTCCAAATTTTGCTGGAGCTATTAACTCCTTTACATTTTACAATTCCATTCTCTACCAGCATCTCTTTACAAAGCAAGTATAATGTTATTTAGCACTAAATAAGGGGAGCAACTCATACTTTGCTTTCACTGTATGACTTCCAAGTAGTAGTCTTTCCTTTGGGGAATTATCTTGTCTGTTCTGAGTTTCATCAAAACCTGCCAAATTGTTCAAATAGGGAAAATGAATCTTTTTTTTTTTTTTAAAGTTTCATGCTAGATGCTGCTGCTGAATGATACTTCATTACCTTATGAGAATAATAAGCTTTATGTCTTTAAGGGTGATATATTTAAGGCTTTGGCTGTGTTAATTAACTTAATTGTGCATTCATGCATCAGTCATCTCAGATCAGACTTAAAATTTCATATTCTTCAAGATATTTTCACGTAACATCACAATCACTTCTCTGCATATCAGTAGTACACAGGCACCACCTGTTTGTAAGCAAGGTGATATACTGTTATTGGAAGCTGCCTGCAACATGGTGGAAATACTCTTGAATAAATGTAAATACATATATAGGCAGTCCTTGACTACAGCACTTTATCTTACAGACATTTGCATTTAGGGTGCTTAGCCAATTACACCCATGTTATTACTTAATGGCACTTAGGATGGATAGACAGCAAACAAATCAACTGACATCAGTCTCTGCTTCCTGCTGTGCTCTACTTAAGCATCTCTGGTTCCCAGCCTGTAAACCTCTTCTCCTTGCCCCCTCTCAAGTGCCTACCCCAGCTTCCCTGCCCGTGGGGTGAGTTTCTTTGCTCCAGATGAGCTCATTCTCTGGGATTTCTAAAAGAGTACTGATAAGTGCTGTCTTCAGTAAAATAAAAAAAAATAAAAATAAATAAAAAAAAAAATAAAAGAGTACTGGCGCTCTATATCTGAAGGATAAGGAAGAGAAGGAACAGAATTAAGTAACACACTAGAACCACAGGTAAAGAATAGGGAAGGAAAGAATGGGAGTGGATCTCCTGTCCAAAACTACAAAATAATAAATCGTCTCTTGCCTGGCTGGTGAAATGATCTGAAAGGCAAGTGCTAATGTATTTGGTCTCTAGTGAGAAGATCGAGGCAGAGAACAGGTTTGCTTATTAATAGGCACAGGTAATAGTTAACATTTAAAAACCCTTTAAGATGGCCTATAAAAGAAAAACATAAATTAATGCTTTAGGAATGATTTTAACCCCTCTAATAAACCTGCATATAGAACCTGGAAATTCAATAGGAAGGCTTGATTTTTGTTCATTCTTTTTCAAATTCAGTTTGTGCCTTTCAATTTGACCATGATTAAATCCACTGGAGCAATGATATGTTAAGAAATCAAAGAATGAGTAATTCATTTCAAATAAGAGTAGATTAATGCATTTTGAAATAAGCATTGCTAAACATCATTGCTGTTAAGAGAGTATCTCCTCAAAGCAAAAAAGATTCTCCTCTTTCTAGACAGGAACAGGAGTGGAGGGTGGGCTAGCAAGTATATCTGAAATTGCTGCAAGTCAATCAACAATGTGTAAAAGGAACAATTAGAGTAAATAAGCCCCAATCCAGTCTTAAAATGGTCACCATTGATTCCATATCTCCACCAAAGTCTCCTCATTGACAGCTGTCAGATCTTTTTAGGAGACTCTGAACATCAAACCTGATGAAAGTATTTTTTCAGCCTTCTTAATTGTTGGCAATAAAAATAAGACAGAATTATAGATTGCTCTATAAAACAAATAGAATTTTATGTGATTGTGATTACTACTATTGATGTGCACTAAATATTATTTAAGTGTATACTATGCATTGTACACAAATAATTTATGGTACTTACAATAATCTACCATGAGGAAGAAGAGTGCCTATATTTAAAGTTTTTATATTAGAGTCTTATATCTTGAAATTCTTGTCAGCAAGTATAGAAACTATTTCTACCACTAAGAGCAAGTAAATAGATTCTACCTGAAAAATTTTTGAAGAATTTGATTCTAAAGCAAAAAAGAGGTAACTATGAAATTTAGTCATGAAGGTTATTAAATGATACCCAGGTTTTAGCTATTGAATTTTTACATTTTGAAGTATGTAGAACTTCATATTTGAAGAGAAATTTCCGTTTTTGGGTTATATCTTGTTTAAGATCATTTGAATTACTAATACTTGTATTAATAACTTTACTCTTTTCAGTGATATCATTAAATGGCAAGAGTTTAAATTTTTTTCTTATTTTCTTTGTTCTTTTATAATTCTTCCATATATACTAATCAGAATAGAAGAGTAAGAGATTAAAAATTAATCTTTTAAAAACTGAAATGTTCTATATGCTTTAAAAAGCCAAAGTCTACTTCCTAAAGTATTTTCAATGGATAGTTCATTTTAAAAAGAAGCCTGTTTGATTGTGGGGTGGGGGATTATTTCTTCCATTATTTAGAAAAGATAACTTGAGAAATAAGGAGAGGATATATTTCAGTAGAAAATTTTCCTTTTCTTTATTCTAAAGGGCTATATAATACATAAATACAGAGTCAAACATTAGTAAGGGGGTAACCATGAAATATGTCTTTGAAAGTATAATTTTTGATTCAAAATAATAAAACTCTACAAAGTTGATATATATACCCAGTTTACTGAGGTAACTTGATTCACATCCAAAATATCATTGAGAGAATTTTGGAGTATGTTAAATATAGATTATCTCAAAGATTTATCCTTGTAAAAAGAATAAAATATTTAGTAACTACTATATATTTTTCTATCTGAAGATCATAAAATTCTTTACCAACCCTAATCAATCCTCCCAATTCTCCCCATCCCTACCCCACCTCCACTCCCCAGTCTTGTTGGAATGAATACTGTGCAAATAAATAAACCAAGCTCCAACTGGATAACTGCAAACATCCAAAGGAAAAGTGAAAACCCTGGTCAGAATATGGCAGATTGAGAAGGCAGTTGGTAGTGGAATACCATAGTCATAGAGCACTTCTTCCAGTGGTTACTGTGTTATTTTCATGCAGACTCCAGAAAATCAAGGTGTCCTTATTAGGTATTGATAAGAAGTTAGCATTATTTGTCGGATTCCAACCTTTAAGAGATTTAAGCATATAAATTTTACTTAGCATATAAGTATTACCATGTAGACATATCCTGTTTCTATTTTATCAGTCACGGAAGAATAGAACACATGCTATTAGTTTCTGCTATTGAATTCTTTGAAAAAATATGAAAGGGTATACTGATGCAATGTTGAAAAATATTAATAGGCCTTTTTTCCTTCTTGTATGAAAAGGAATGCACTATTTACATATGGAGGCTCCTGTCAAGGTGATTCACAGAGATCTCAAGTCAAGAAATGGTAATGTCATGCATTTTTATTTCACCTATTTAGTTACAAATTACATGCACCTGTATATAGAAATAAACATGCTTTCCATATATTTTGTAACCTATGACTCACTGCTGATACCATAGAAGTCTTTCCACTATCAATTAAATATCAAAATTCTCTATATTATTTGAAGAAGCTGCATAGTATTCCGCTGTATGAATATAACACAGCATGTAAACATTTGGATTGTTTACATTTTTCTATGATAAGAAATTTCATGCTCTATACCTTTCAGCCAAATTTTCAACACATCCCTAATTATTTCCCTAAAATCATTTTCTAAAAAAGGTATTGCTGGGTCAAAGTATGTAGTCATGTGTTTTTAGTCTTCTATTTTTAGGTGGTCCTCTGTACTGGCAATTTTTGGTTTTGTTCTTGTTCCGAATTACATGGTGTGAATTGTTTATGTCAGTCATGCCTGTATTACCTGGAGCAGTGCCCAAAATGAGCAGCATGTTTGCAAGTTTGGAATGCAAAGTCTCTATTTTTCTTCTTTCTCTTCTTCTGTACTTCATAAAGTTAATTTATGGTCCTGTATTTTATAATTTGGAGGGTGAGCATTTTAAAATAGCTTGCAGGATTAGACTTTGCCTTCAAGTAAGAGTGGTAACAGAATTCTCCTTCTCTTAAGTCACTTCAGAGTTACTAGAGAAAGGCAGTCAGATACCTTAGCTATCCAGAGCTAGCTAAGTAAACATGAGAGTTTGCCACTTTTTAAAAAAACTTTGCTTTTAATTAATTAATCATTGTCATGCTTTCTAAGTGGTTCTTCTTTGGAAGGAGGAGGAGGACTATTTATTTTTAGCAGATCTTTAGATCACTGCAGTTAAAGTGGGTACATGCTAATAGTGTGATCTTTAGCTTAGGTAGTGACAGCAAGTAGTGGAAGGGGACCGGGGACTTAATGGACCAGGTACCCTTGCTTGTACATACTCCAGGACCTTGAGGTGTGTGTACACTTGGCGGGCCCGAGGGGAGGGAAATGGCTGGTACCTGCCACTCATCAGTAGTCCAGGTTGGACCCCTAGCCTGGCCCTGCCAGTTGCCTCTGGCTTATTGTCTTTCCCTCTTCTAGGTCATCACTTATCATTTGGCTCTGCTTAGACATAAGTTTCCTGGAACTAGACACTTTTGATATATGATTGGCTAACAGGAAGTCATTAGGTAATAATCTACAATCTAGTAGGAAATATCAGAGTTTTATGACTTTGTAAATTTCAGTTCCTGCTTAGAATTTCAATTTAAACAAGTTGTTTGACTGCAGCATGTCCTAAATCTTCCATGTGAGAATGATTAACTAAATAGTGAGCTTATTCATGCTATCATTATGAGGACTATATAATAATGGAGAATACCCCCATTTTAAAAAATTTTAATTTGTGTATAATTACTTAATAGGAACACACACACATTCATATTGAAAAAATACAGACCTAACTTTTAGCAGTTTTTTTTCCTGGGAGAGGGAACAAGACTCTTTCATTTTCTGTGTTATACGTTTTTATAATGGTAGATTTTTTAGAAATGAGTATTTGTTAATCTTATAATGAGAAAACTGAATATAATATTAACAATATTTACATTTCTATTTGTAAAAGTTTATAGCTTGTTACTTATAATGTCATGTTTACCCTGAGGCTATTTCTATTTTAGATCATGCAAAAATTATTTTCTCTCCTTATTAAAATCATTATTAGCATGTAGTAAGTATTGATCATCTACCATGTTCAAGGCACTATATGGCTTATGAAAGAAATACCAGAGGGCCGGGCGCGGTGGCTCACGCCTGTAATCCTAGCACTTTGGGAGGCCGAGGCGGGCGGATTGCTCGAGGTCAGGAGTTCGAAACCAGCCTGAGCGAGACCCTGTCTCTACCAAAAATAGAAAGAAATTAATTGACCAACTAAAAATATATATACAAAAAAAATTAGCCAGGCACAGTAGTGCATGCCTGTAGTCCCAGCTACTCAGGAGCCTGAGAGTTTGGGGTTGCTGTGAGCTAGGTTGATGCCGTGGCACTCACTCTAGCCTGGGCAACAAAGTGAGACTCTGTCTCTTAATAAATAAAATAAAATCCCTTTCACACATTTTTCATTGATCCTTCTTCTTAAACATCAGCTAAGTCAACCTTTCTAGAACTGCATATTTTCAGTTTATTTTATTAAAAACCTTTTTACTCAAGTCACTTTGTACCACTTTTCAGTAGAGGGCCTAAATATGTCTCTTTGCAGTTAGGCTTTTTATTTACTTATTTACTGACCCTATCTTTGCTTGGTTTGGTTTTATTTAGGGGAGGATTAAACATATGCTTAACAAATCATTCTATCAAGTAGTATGACTTACTAAAGCAAGCTCTACAGCCAGCCTCTGGTATCTCCAGTGTTGCTCTATATTTATACATCAGATGTTGCTCTTCAGAACCTCTCTGCCCCAGTCGCCTGATTTGGAATCTCAATTCTACATTTATGCGAGGCCTTCCCTTAGCTGGTGGAGACAAAAATGCTATTGCAGTGATTCTGTTTTAAAACATCTTCTGCTGTTGGTCTTGAAGAGAGAGTTTGCTCAGAATGCTGGTTCACCTCATGCAGGCAGCTGTGTTAGCAGAATTCCATTCAGAATAGTATATAGATGCTAATTTAATTATAAACAGGAATTCAGGATTATATTTTAATTCTGACCCCTTCCCATTCTATTTGTTCTAAATAAACACCATTAGTGAAAGAAAAAGTACAAAGCATGCTTTCTGGAGCATTTTTGTTTAAATGATCATAAATTTTTAAAATGAAGAAAGCATTATGTGTTCAAAGTAGACATTACATAAAAGAGCAGAAAAGGACAGTTGCTAAGGCTAGGACCAGTTAATTTTAGAAGGTCCATAAACTTTGAAAATGATACCTATGTAGGAAAGCAGTGTAGTTAGAGTTTTTGATATCTTTCAAAAAATGGGTGAGTAGCTAGGTCTCATTTGTC